CCAATCCTTTAGCATCTAACAACTAAATGTTTATTATTACGATAAAGAAAAGCATGAGAGTGAGGTTGTTAAAGGATAGTATATTACAGTCATCGAATCTCCCAGTTCTCGATGCAGGCTCTAGCAGAGATGTTACAGCTGCTGGTTTAAAAGTCCTTGTTGCGCATCCTAGGATCAGGATGGGTCCACAGGTCTTCCTGGCTCTTCGATCCCAGCACTGCTACCTCTGGGATGAAGTGCTGAGCCGAAGACCAAGATGGAGACCACCACGTGGCCTATTTATCCCTCCTTCCTGGTCTCTTCTTGGCTACAGCAGGTCACCTGGCCCATGGCCTGTCCCTGTGTCCCTGCTAGTAGCCCTTAGGTATGAGTCACCACTCACTCTTTAGGTGTGTCCTTGGCCCATTGAGTGCCATTGTCCCACAGGGCCTTGCTGATTAGCATGTCCATAGGCCGGGCTCTGCCCAATGCTCAACCACATGCAGGGAAATCTTCAGTATCCACACAGATTCCAGACTCCTAACTCCACACACAGACATTATACAATCACATGAACAGCGTACACAGGATCAGCAGACAGTGAGCTTCTATTCAACACCCCACATGGCCCCTTTTATACCATTTTGGGGGCCAACACCCCCACCCATGGGTGCAGCAGTGATCTGGCTGCTCCCTCTCAAAATCCAGTAATGTGACACCCCACCAGCATGGAGAGGGAGGCGTAGAGAGAGGAGGGCAGCGATCCACATGTCGTCAGTGGGGCAGCGAGTGGGGACCGCCGCAGCACCACACGGCTGACCGGCCGGGGGTGGGCTCTGCATGTTGCCGGCCGAGTCTCCTTCTACAGGTAAGGTTCCCCTCCCCTGCTGCAGCTACAGGGCCTGGGCATTACCCTTGCCCCATGCTATGGGGCCTGGCGATTCCTGCCCAGCCTATGGGGGCCTGCACACTCCGCCTCCCCGGGGCTCCACATTGGTGTGTGGAGATTCCCCCCACCTCACTGTGAGGCTTCTCCTGATTTCCCCTCCCTCCTGCCGTTTTACCCAAAGTGTGGGGGTTCTCCCCCCCTCGCACCTGTTCATGGGCCCTTGGAATTTCTCCCCCCCTTGCTGTGCTTCATCCAGGGCCTGGGGATTCCCTGCCCCCTCTCCATGCACCCCTACACCCCTCTGCAGTGCCCCAGAGCAGAGGCAGGCCCAGAAGCCTATGGACCAGGTTGGGTTGCCAGATGGTTTAACCAAAAATACCGAACCTCCCCCCCTCCAAAAAACTCCCAAACCCCTGGGGTGCGGGAATTCTATTAAGAAAAAAAAGAGGGAGACCCAAAATTGTTGAGCAAAAAAAAAAAGGGGGACCCCCCCCCCAACAGTGTTCCACAGGGCTTCAAATGGTACCTGCCCACGGATTCATGTGCTGGCCTGGAGGGAGCGCCCCTGATTTTTGGAGGCTTGTGAAACTGGTCGGGGCGAGGCGGAAAGCAAACCCACACAGGGCCATGTCTCAGCCGGAAGCTGTGTGTGTCTGTCCGTTTGTGTGAGACCTCCTCCCAAAGGGTACGAATGGGGAACGCCACATTCGGCAGGAGGCCGCCTCTTCCCATAATTAAAGGCCAGGCAAGGGGCTGTGTGGGATGCAGCCGAAAGGGGGAGCTGTGTTAGGGTGGCAGGTACCATGGTGCCAGGCAGTGTCTGCTCCCATTTGTCCTGGCATTTCGGAGGGGGGCACGGCTCCTTGCACGGCGAAGGGCATTTCGGAGGGGGGCACGGCTCCTTGCACGGCGAAGGGCATTTCGGAGGGGGGCACGGCTCCTTGCACGGCGAAGGGCATTTCGGAGGGGGGCACGGCTCCTTGCACGGCGAAGGGCATTTCGGAGGGGGGCACGGCTCCTTGCACGGCGAAGGGCATTTCGGAGGGGGGCACGGCTCCTTGCACGGCGAAGGGCATTTCGGAGGGGGGCACGGCTCCTTGCACGGCGAAGGGCATTTCGGAGGGGGGCACGGCTCCTTGCACGGCGAAGGGCATTTCGGAGGGGGGCACGGCTCCTTGCACGGCGAAGGGCATTTCGGAGGGGGGCACGGCTCCTTGCACGGCGAAGGGCATTTCGGAGGGGGGCACGGCTCCTTGCACGGCGAAGGGCATTTCGGAGGGGGGCACGGCTCCTTGCACGGCGAAGGGCATTTCGGAGGGGGGCACGGCTCCTTGCACGGCGAAGGGCATTTCGGAGGGGGGCACGGCTCCTTGCACGGCGAAGGGCATTTCGGAGGGGGGCACGGCTCCTTGCACGGCGAAGGGCATTTCGGAGGGGGGCACGGCTCCTTGCACGGCGAAGGGCATTTCGGAGGGGGGCACGGCTCCTTGCACGGCGAAGGGCATTTCGGAGGGGGGCACGGCTCCTTGCACGGCGAAGGGCATTTCGGAGGGGGGCACGGCTCCTTGCACGGCGAAGGGCATTTCGGAGGGGGGCACGGCTCCTTGCACGGCGAAGGGCATTTCGGAGGGGGGCACGGCTCCTTGCACGGCGAAGGGCATTTCGGAGGGGGGCACGGCTCCTTGCACGGCGGAGGGCATTTCTCCTGGCATTTCGGAGGCGGGCAGGTCTGTTTACACTGGTGCTGCTGGGAAGACATCTTCCAACGGTCGAGGTAAACCTGCAAGGGAAAGGAGGCGTCTTTTCAGCAGGGACCAGACCTGCCACCGCGCGCCTTGGCCTGCCCTCCCGATTCACCGGCTCGGGCGTCCATTTTGGCAGGTTGCCTGGGATTGGAAGGCCAGGTTGAGCTTAGCACTGGGGACAGGCACGCGTGTGGAATCGCTTGTGGATCAAGACACAGAACACAAGGGAGCAAAACCCTGAACACAATCGTTTTCCTCGCTTCCACTGTCGGGGTTTTTGAAATCAGGGAAAAATCATTTCAACCTTTTTTGAAGAAAAAAGTCACAAACATGGACAATTGCTCCCATTTCAACCCTGCGAGAGGGCACAATTTTCAGTGTTTTCCCAACTCTCCCTGTGTCTCTCTGCCCCAGGCGACAAACCTTCCTCTCAGCTGCCCCGTCGGGCAGAGAGCTGCTGCCCTGGCCTTCCCTCGCCACGTGGCCGGGGCTTTGTGAGGGCCGTGGACTAGGCATCACCACACCCCGGGCATGTGCCTCAGCCCGTGGGGCCCTCGTCTCGCTGGGAGCATCTAGGCAGAAGAAGAATCAAGGCTCCAGCCCAGCAGCACGTAGAAATACGGAGCCTTTCTCCAGAGGCCCCTGCAAATGGGAATGGTTTCTAAGCGGCCCCCAGAGCAGAACAGACGGCGGCCCCTCCCGCTGCACTGGCAAAGGCCGTCGTGGGGCAGGACACGGGCCCCGAGTGGGTGCCGTGACTCTTCCTCGGCCGTCTGGCTGCTGGGCTGGGCCCCCATGCTCAGGCTCTCGCTGATCACCACATGTGGGCGGGAAGGAATCCCCTCCAGGTCAGAGGGACAGGGACCCAGGAGGCTTCCCCCCCTGCGCAGCACGGGGCACGGGTCCCTTCTCTGGGGCTTGGACCCTTCAAGTCATGGGGGGGGGGGTGGGGGCCTGTGGCCGTCCACGTGCTGCAGGTCGCTCCAGATGGTCCCTACGGTCCTGTCTGGCCCAGGAGTCTAGAAGCAAAACTTGCCGCATCTCTGCAGCCGAGAGTAACAAGCAGCCCCGGCACTGGGAGCGAGCTCGGCCCAGACACTCACCTGTGGCAGGGGGGGGCGGGGCCAGCTTCCACCCCGGCCCGGGGAGCGTCTCTCAGCCGCTCCAGGGGCGAAGAGCCTCCCTTCCCCGCAGGACAGGCGACAATTCTCCCCACAAAACCTCTCTCCCCTGTGCTCCCCTCCTGCCATCGACGAGGCTCTGCAATGTGTCGGGCTCCTCACTGAAGATCACCAAAGCGTCGAGGGCCGCCTGCTCTGTGCTGCCAGCGTCTCTCCAGCTTTCCAGGGGTTGGCCCAGCCGCTCCAGGGGCGAAGAGCCTCCCTTCCCCGCAGGACAGGCGACAATTCTCCCCACAAAACCTCTCTCCCCTGTGCTCCCCTCCTGCCATCGACGAGGCTCTGCAATGTGTCGGGCTCCTCACTGAAGATCACCAAAGCGTCGAGGGCCGCCTGCTCTGTGCTGCCAGCGTCTCTCCAGCTTTCCAGGGGTTGGCCCTCGCCGCAGAACCCAGAGTGCTGGGGAGAACGCCTGCTGCGCTTTGCCGGCCAAAGAAGGTTTCAGGGGAAAGGAGAACGGGGCCTTACTTGTGCCTTGATTCAGTGGGGCCGAGCAAGTCCCCCCCCCGCACCAAAGCCTGCCCCGCCCTGGAGCGCTGTGGCTCACCCGTGGACACGGCTTCCGTGGAGTCGGCAATGGGAGATGCCAACAGCAAACCAGCATCACCCTGTCCTAGCGCTCCGACCCATAGCCGCCGAGTCACTGTCTCCTCGGTCAAGCCGTTCCCACTGGTACCCTTACAAAGGAGCAGGTCGCACAGATCCCTTGCATGGGAATCCGGGGGGGAGCTGCGCCTCTGAAAATCAGGCTCTAGCCGGTCTCAGTCTACGCGGCACACTTACTTCGAAATGAGCTATTCCAGATTCGTTATTCCAAAAAAGCTTATTTCCAAATAGCACGTCTACACTGCAGGGAAGCCTCGAGATGAGCCCGAGGCCGGCTCCCCTAATGTAGATGCGCTGGCTCGATTTAGAGCCCCAGGAGGCCCTGGGGAGGAATAACTTACAGGCTACTTCGAAATAGCAGAAGTGCAGCGTCTACACGCGCCTTATTTGGAAATAGCTATCTCGGAATGGGCGTTATTCCTCGTAGAATGAGGTCTGCAGATCTCGGAATAAGCCGTCTGTAATTTCAAAATGAGTTTGAAAGAACGGAATGGCTCTATAGACGCTCGCATTGTTATTTCAAAATACCGCAAGCTATCTCGAAATAATGGGGCAGTGTAGAGGCACCCTTCAAGTATGAATTTTGAGAATAGCAGCTCACTGCTGGATCCCAGCAAGCTGACTGTCAGCGAGAATCTGACCCGGTTTACACAGGAAGTAGTTGAAATGGAATCAGGTCCTTTGAGTTCTCTATAACTGTTTGAGAGAGAGACAGAAGGAAGGAGAGGGTATGGGGATACTGAGCTCAAATGCAAGCAGCCGTATCATCATCCATGGAGCTAGAGACCTGTGAGGACACCTCAGCAGTAAATCTCAACCACCCCTCCTGAATAAATGCAGACCATGTGCTTTGCCTTCCCAAGATAGATAGATAGATAGATAGATAGATAGATAGATAGATAGATAGATAGATAGATAGATAGATAGATAGATAGATAGATAGATAGATAGATAGATAGATAGATAGATAGATAGATAGATAGATAGATAGATAGATAGATAGATAGATAGATAGACTGTCTGTCTATCTAAGTTCCTGACACATCGAGGTGCAGTGTCAGGGTAGTGTGTCTCATTTCTTAACTGAAACACATTATAAACTTTCACCACCTTGTTCTTCTTGTTCTCAGTCATTCTCTCTCTGGATGAAGCGGAAGAACACACCGAGTGATCACAGCTTGTGTTCATTCATCACTTGAGGAAAAGATTGAATGAGAAGATGGTTTGATAAGACTGTCGCAGACACTCCTACGTCCGAAACTCTTCCTACCCAGGTTAACCACGTGCCCCGTGTGCATTAATGACACGTCAGACAAATCACAACACTGAGTCGTGTGGGGGGTAGCTTGCGAATGGCCTTTGCCACCGTCCAGACAAGTCAAGGGAAGACTTGGCAACACACTATGAACCAAAGCAGGGTTTTTATTTCCTTTAAACCACGTTTGTAAACATATTTCTGGCAAACGATAGTCCTGGCTCCCCGACACTTCCTGGGGTGAAGCCCCCTTCAAAACCCAGGAATGGTGCTTGGACACAGGATGCTCGGCTGTTTCGCAGGGAACGTCTTTGTCTTGCGTCTTTTGACAGCACCGGTGAACACAAATTTCGACAATGTCCCGGTGCTTCTGTCCACACAACACACATGCTGCGAAGAGCTTCAGGCTGAGGAATGGGCCTGTGCGGGTTTTCTGGCTTCTTCACCCCGACCAGTTTCACAAGCACCCAGAAATCAATGGCCGCTCCCAACCCAACTTATCCCGGACATCAACGCATGGTCACGTGCAGCTGGAAGCTCTGGGGCTTGCCGCCACTGTCCGTGAGGGAGGGGTCTCCATTGCTCTTGCAGCACAGTTGAAGCCTGGTTTCACCCCGTGTCACTGCCCCTGGCAGGAAGTTGAAGTGACACTTGGGTGGTGTAGAAACAGAATGGGGAGGGGGGGCAGGGATGAGGAAGGTCGTTAGCTGAGCAGAGAATGACAGAAGAAGGCCCAGTGGCTGGATATTATCACCAGACAATTTCCAGTTAGAAAAAGGCGCCATTGCCCGGCCGAGAGCGAGAGGCTGAGAGATTAGCCATTCAGACGCTCGGTGGGGAAGCGGGGGGTCCCACCCACCCACCTATGCCGCCAGCTGGAGAAGACTTGAATCTATGGCAAGGGGTTCAGCCAATACACAAATGCTGGGATTGGCTTTAAAGAGACAAGAGAAAAAAAGTGTAAAAAAGAAGCATCGAGTTGGGGGGTTGGGTTTTGTTTTTTCCCTCTGCAAATGCTGTTTTGAAATTCCAGTTTTGTTTCGGAGGAGGAGGGGATTACGTGGCCCTGTAATGATGGAAGTTTAGGAATTTTCCAGAAAAGAAGATGATTCAAACAAGGAATGTAAGGGGGTGTTGGTAGAACCGGTTCGGATTGCTACACACCAAGTGCTCACGCTATCCATCCAGAACCTCAGTTCCGGCAACCGCAGCTCAGAGATGCTATAAAAGGCCTGGTTCCACAGTGCTCCACAATCCACTTGGCTTCTGACTGCTTCTCCTCGCTCATGAATTGGGTAAGTGTCTCTCTTCCAGCTGAAGGCTCCCTTTGTGGTGGTCATTATCTTCTGGCCCTCGGTTCGGTAGAGATCTATTTCGGATAACACTTGTGTTCTTTGTGTGGGCTTTATTGCTTCTTGCACTTGTCTGCCAGCATTGGTGACTGGCATTAATTAGATTCATGTCAGTGCTTATGAATCTTCAGCAGGGATGCACCCGGGGCATACGGCACGTAACACAGACCTCTGTGTTTTGAGTTAAAGGATTGAAGCCCTGTGTAGAAAATCATTTAAGCTTCTGCTTAGCCTCAAGCAGGAACTTAAATTCCTTCCTTCTCCATTAAAGCACTTAGAATTACAGCTACGCCAAATATTGATTTAAAAAAAATTTCTTTAGTTCCTTGGCAATTCCAAAAACATTTGGACACTTAGAATTACAGCTACATTGGGATTCCTAGCCAGGCTGAATTCTTACAGGACTCTTAGCAGAGAATAACTGACGCCCCGTGAATGGTAACAAAGCAGAAATTGCTGGATTATTTTCTCTTAATCCTGCTGGGGACAGTCAGCTGACGACAAGTAAGAGCCTATATAATGTATGCCATAGTACGCAGAGGCAAGATTTAGCTTCTGATACAGCAAGGAGTCCAAATTGCTGAGGTTTCAGCAGCTAATTCCCTTGGGCGCGTCTGGAAAATCCCATCCTGCAAGAATGTAAACTCCTGGAGGATTGTCCCATGTTCACCAGGGCTGTGTTCTTCCTTTCCTTTCAGGTTGACCTGAATCGTAGAAAGATGCCTCACCATCAGCAGCAGTGTAAACAGCCCTGCCAGCCACCTCCAGTGTGCCCTCCGCTGTGCCAGGAAACCTGCCCAACCCCCAAGTGCCCGGAGCCGTGTTCACCCAAGTGCCCGGAGCCGTGTTCACCCAAGTGCCCGGAGCCGTGTTCACCCAAGTGCCCGGAGCCGTGTTCACCCAAGTGCCCGGAGCCGTGTTCACCCAAGTGCCCGGAGCCGTGTTCACCCAAGTGCCCGGAGCCGTGTTCACCCAAGTGCCCGGAGCCGTGTCCAAAGCCATGCCCAGAGCCCTGCCCGGAGCCCAAGTGCCCGGAGCCCAAGTGCCCGGAGCCCAAGTGCCCGGAGCCGTGTCCTCCACCCCACTGCCAGGAGAAGTGTCCTCCACCCCACTGCCAGGAGAAGTGTCCTCCACCCCACTGCCAGGAGAAGTGTCCTCCACCCCACTGCCAGGAGAAGTGTCCTCCACCCCACTGCCAGGAGAAGTGTCCTCCACCCCACTGCCAGGAGAAGTGTCCTCCACCCCACTGCCAGGAGAAGTGTCCTCCACCCAAGTGCCCGCCTACACAGAAGTAAAACTGAAGTGCTAGCAGCCTTCATCCATGCATCCACAGCTCAGGAATGTCCAGCAAACCAAGGAGTGCCGACTTGCAACTAATTTCATACTTGTTTCTCCCACTTTGTCCTGGGCTTGGCTTCGGGAGGGTGTGGTTCAGAGCTCTGCTCATATGTTGTATATTGATTCTGGCATTAGTATCCTCTGGACACTGGTGTAGTCTGCAATCAACTGTACCTCTGAAATATTGGCACTTACACCCCTCATAGCCATTCCATATCATGTACTGGCTCTGATATTGCAGTACATTCATTCTCCTGTTTTCCATTCCATCCTTAATTGTAAACATGCTGGAATAAAACTTATAATTTATGTTATCCACTGTCTCCTAGTGTTTCCCTTGCCGTCCGGATCTGTACTTTATTGTTCTTGGCTATCCAGACAGTGCTACGGCTCCCATCGCTGTATTATCTGAGCTCCTCATATTGCTCAATTTACTCTGGCAGCTTAACCAAAGCAGAGAAGTGTTATAACTAAGGCAGTTGGGAAACTGATCTCCAGAGAGATCGAGTGACTTGACCAATGTCTCACTGGCCAACTGCAGCAGATCCAGGTCTAGCCCTCTGAGACTTTAGGACTCAGTTCTGTAATTTAACCAGACGACTGTCCTGGGACCTATTTGCCTCTCTTTCTCTCTGTCTCCTAGGAGATAGGTAAGCAAACCTGGAAAACAAAATATTTTCCACTAAAGTTTTTTCAAAACGTGTCCAAATTTCACAAAAACGTATGATTTGTGCTATTCCAATTTAAAAAGACCTAAGCAAACTGAAGACCATTGAGATCATGAGTGCTGGATTTTCATCAGAATCCCAGGAAGAAATTGATCAAAAATAATTTTCCACCTACATTTTCACCATAACCTCTCATTTCACCAAAAACTATTTCTGTGGATAAGTTTGACCAGTTCCAGTTCGGGGCTGCGTCTAGACTGGCATGATTTTCCACCATCGGGGCTTTTTTGTGCAAACAGTTTTTGCCTGTCTACACTGGCCCTCTTGCACAGTGTAGAGGGAGCATCATAGTATTTATGCAAGAACACTGACAATCTTACATGAGATCGTCAGTGTTCTTGCGCAAATTCAAGCGGCCAGTGTAGACAGCTTGAAAACTTGCCAGTCTAGACGCAGCCATGGAGTTCTCTGGCAATCTGTTCTTTAAACGTAAGAATGCCTGGCTAGGAACTGAAGCCCGGGCAGCAAGAGAGGGAAGGAAGGGTCAGTGTGAGCAGCGAGGGAGGGTTGGCTGAGTGGGTGTGGAGGCCCGGTCTGGTCGGTGTCTGCTCAGCGGTGGCTGGAGACTCTGGCTTCATAGACAAGTTGAACTGAGAGTGTTTAGAGAGCTGGCGGGGATGGGGCTTGTGAGGAGCAAGGCTGGCAGGGAGCCAAGGAGAAAGGCCAATAAGGATGGGTACATAGGAGAGGGGGAGGGAAGATGCTGGCTCCATGGATCAGAATCTTGAGGGCAAAGAAGGTGAAACCAGGAAGTGGCTGGGACGTTGGCCCGTGGGGGCAGGGGCTGGTGTGGTTATCAGGAGAGCTTGGGCCTCGCAACACTGACGTCTCCCCCCGGCTAAGGAGCAGCGCCAGCGGCCAGAGCCAGGGGTAGGCCAGCTGACATGTTGAAATCCCATGTTTTTACCAAAAAATCCCCAAGTTTTCCAAAAGGTGGGATTCCCGTTTTTGTGATTTTTCACTCTACTTTAGGATCATTCAAATATACATAAAATGAACCAGTTTTATCAGGAAAATACAAGACATTGCATGACACAGACGTAGGATTATAACATATTAGTCTGTCTAGATGCGCAAAGCTGCCGACTGAAGTACGGCTCCGTATTGGAAGACACACAGGAAACAGACTCGCCTGCAAACTCTGAAGTGCACGCGCTTCCGAACGTCCTGATGCATCTTGTCCCTACCACGGAGCCATTTCACGCTGTCGGCAGGTAGCGGTTTAAAGATTTGGCTCCCTGAAATGGGAAGAAAGCGAAAGTCAATAGCAGAATGTTTCAGAAAATGAGGAATTCTTTGAACGTTTTCAAGCCCCTCCCCCAAAAGAGGAGAAAGGGATGAAGTTGGCTCTTTGCAAATGCTGCGGCCCAGTTACAAATCTCAGTGTTTACAGGCGAAGAGTTCTAAGTCCACAGCGGGAAACGCGTTATTCCAATAAAAGAGCTGTTTGGGGACTGGGGAGACGGTGTTTTCCCAGCCCCAGAGGTGCTTTGCAATGTGAGCGCCGCTTTCGTTTTCAGCGCACCACATTGGGGAACACAATTCAAAGCATTAACCTTCTGAATCCTTTCCCCTCCCCCCACATCTTTCCGTCCAGCAAAACAGCCCTCGATATTTACCCCGACAGCTGGTCCCTGCTTTGCACTGATTTGTCCTGCTTCTCTGGGGGGATCCAGGCTGGTAAGGTCCTGGGGAGAATTCACTGCACTCCCCCTGAGACGGGAGGGCCCTCTATGTGATCTGGCCACCAGAGGGAGACGCCACCCACATTTTCCCAGGTGCATCACTGGGCCATACAGGGAGGAGGATCACAGGAAGCCGTTGCAGTGATACGGGGATCAGAGATCCTGCCCCGCCCCCTCCAGGATAATCCCCACAGTGGCATGCCCGGGGGGCCATGCCAGGGGGTTGTGTCCGGTCCAGCTCTCAGTGCTGCCTGGAGTGCACCAGCCCCCCACCCCTCCGGCTCCCCCGAGCCCTTGGATGCACAGAGCTCCGGCAACGATTTCAAGGGCCGGGGGCTGAGGGCGCCGCCGCTGCCATGAGCCCCGGAGCAGTTGCTCCTTTCGTCCCCACCCCACTGTCAGGCCAGGACACGCTCTACAGCTAATGCTGGTTCCAGCTCCTCCCAGCGCTGTTCCCTGCCTGGCGACGGCCCCCATGGCCGGTCTGCACTGCCGGCAGTGGCGTAGTGGGAATAATCTCCCCCACCCAACTCTCCCCTGTTCAGTTCTCTGTCCACCCCGGGACGCGGGCGGGGTCTCTTCACATGGCTCTTTCTTCCCAAGCGGCATGTGGGAAATGCACAGGGACAGCAGCGGCTCTGAGCAATCTGCGCTAGCCCAACGTCTGGAAACTAGAGATTTCTCCCCTTGTCGGGGGAGAGCCACACTGATACCCTGAGTCACACAGGTCGTGCTTGGGCGGCGCACGGGAGAGCGATGGGCACCAGAATCCTATTTCTCCTCCCATCCCAGCCCGGCCTTGTGTCAAAAGGAGGCACCAAGGTCTTTTCTCGAGCCGCGCTGCTGCGCCTGTGCATTCGCAAACCATTCAATAAACTAAAAGGGAAGAGCCTCCTTAGTGTGGTGAGCAAGACACCAGGAGTCATTCTTCCGCTCTGCTCCGCACTGAATAGGCCTCAACTGAGCTTTGTGTCCAGTTCCGGGCCCCACATTTCAGGAAAGATGTGGAGGAATTGGGGAAGGTCCAGAGAAGAGCAACGAGAATGATGAAAGGTCGAGAGAACATGAGATGTGACGCAAGACTGAAGGAACTGGGCTTGTTTAGTTTGGAAAGGGGAAGAGTGAGAGGGGACATGAGAGCCGTTTCCAAGTATCTAAAAGGGTGTCACAGGGAGGAGGGGGGAAATTGTTCTCCTTGGCCTCTGAGGACAGGACAAGAAGCAATGGGCTTAAATTGGAGCAAGGGAGGTTTAGGTTGGACACTGGGAAAGACTTCCTGCCTGTCAGGATGTTTAAACACTGGAAGAAATTGCCCAGGGTGGTTGCGGAAACTCCATCACTGGAGACATTTAAGAGCAGGCCAGGAATTTAACTTCTAAAATGCATATGAACAGAAGACCATTGTATTGGCTACTTTTTTGTTTTGGCTTCACAACAGTCCAAGAATTTAACTACAAAGACACGTACCAACCCAACCTGCACCGTCAACCCAACCCGCACCTTAAACCGAACCCCCACCGTAAACCTGACCCGCACCGTCAACCCAACCCGCACTGCTCGCCGCAAGCAAATAGGCCGCGTATCAAGAGGCCCTGCTCTAGGTCATCCCTGATAGATGTCTGTCCACCCTGCTCTTAAATATCTCAGTACTGGAGAGTCCACAACTCCCCTAGGCAATTTATCCCAGTGTTTAACCACCCTACCAGGCAGGAAGTTTTTCCTAATGTCCAACCTGAACCTCCCTTGCTGCAGTTTAATCCCATTGCTTCTTGTTCTATCCTCAGAGGCCAAGGAGAATTATTTTTGTCCCTTCTTGTGTCACCCTTTTAGATACTTGAAAACCCTGAGGAAGTGGATCTGGCCCACGAAAGCTCATCACCTATTAAACCATCTTGTTAGTCTTTAAAGTGCTACACAGTCCTGTTTTTTGTTTCACCCTCTCAGTCTTCTCCTTTCCAAACTAAACAAGCCCAATTCTTTCAGCCTTCCTTCATAGCTCATGTTCTCTAGACCTTTCATCATTCTTGTTGCTCTTCTCTGGGCCTTCTCCTATTTCTCCACATCTTTCTTGAAATGTGGTGCCCAGAACTGGACACAATACTCCAGCTGAGGCCACACTGTTGACTTATATTCAGCTTGTGGTCCACTATGACTCCTTCTGCAGGACGCCTTCCTAGCCAGTCAGTTCCCATTCTGTGTGTGATTTTTTTCCCCCATAAACCAATTTTCTCCAAACCTTCCCCCCTTTTTCAACCAAAATGGCCAATGGCGTGTGTTGTGTCTTCACCGATTACAATGATAATGTCCAATTTTATAAAACATGGTCTGGGACTCTGGCGTTTCCGTGGTTCTTAAGGGTTTTCCTTTATTAAGGGAAACTCTGGATTTGGGGGATAATTTCCACTGTAAGAACCAGCAATATTTGTTTGTAAAAAGTAAAATATTTCAGCTGAAAAGCAGCACCTGGAACAGGGACCGGGAGTCGCAGTGGTGCCTTGCTCCACCCCACACCGAGCAATTCCTCCCTCCCAGCCAAAGCCTGCG